AAAAGGGAAAAAAAAAAAAAAAAACACCTCACTATGGAAACAGGGTTACACAAATGCCTGAATAACTTCAAGAGCAACTGACAGACCCCTTAGGCCACTGGCATAGTCCACCCACCTAGCACTGAGTTCTCCATAATATCTGACACTCCTCATGGCTAGTAAACTTCTCTTCTTCTGTCTCAGCCACCAAACCCATTGCCATGGTCACTCCCTGGGCCATGTCACTCCCTAAAGACACTCCACTTCCAAATGATGAATTCAACATCCCACTATTCAACCATGTGCTACCACGTCCTTTCTTAAGTTCCCCCAATACCTGACCTCACCATGTCCTCCCGTCAGCACACCCCACGTTTTCTATATCTGTACCAGCATCTTCCTGTCTTCACCTTCTTTCCCACTCAGCATAGACTCTGCAAATTCAACGCAACATGTCCTGAAAGGTATTTATGATCTTGCCCTCCAAGACACCACCACATGCTCGTCTCTATGCACTTCCTATCACAACAGATACCATTCAGGTTCTAGGTACTTTCACCTTTATCATCTCTGCCATAGATATCTTTGCCACAAACATTTTCACTGCACAATTCATTGGCCTCAAGGCAACTTTTCCATAGAAGTGATAACATGTAGTCCAAAGTTAGCGTACTTTCTATAAGTTGGTTCTCTGGCGAGTCAGTCCTTCCAACTAAGAGCTGGGTATCAATGGCTGGCCTACACCCCTAGCTGCTGGTGCATGTAGCTAGCAGGTGACGGAACCAGTGTATGGCGGGCAAGGTGACTGCTCCAAAGGTTATTTATTACTCCAGGGACTATTACACACGGTTTGCACACGGCCCTTCTCTTCCTGGGACCGCTGCACAATGTAACATCGCTGCCAGTCAAGAGTAGGTCACACAAACCTGACCACGGCAGCAGCAAGTGTCTCAAGATCATCGAGAGCTATTTTAACTTTGTAGGTTGTACCTAACCAAGCACTTGTCTTCATTCTATGAGAAATATGGGTTCAACTCTTGCCGCTCCTTCATATGCTCCTATCGATAAGTCCCCAGCAGTGCCCGTCAATAGCTAAATGCTTATTGACAACAGATTTTAATAACATCCCAGCACAGTGTCCTCAATGTAAGCAAAGTCACCTTTAGATCAAAACAACTTTACTTAGGCCATAAACAAGAGGATCTGAAACCAATACACAACAACAACCCTTCATGGTGATGGTCTTAAAACAGCTAGCATTTCTTCCAGATGGCAATGATTTGCCCCAAGTGTTCATTTCTTATTTTGAAACACACTACAATGGGAGGAGAAAGAGAGGCTGAGGACCCTCTTTGAGGGCAGAGTTGAACCCACATTTCCCATAGAATGAAGACAAATGCTTAAGTACAAAACCAAATCAGTTATTTGTATATTTCCATGAATCTATACACATTTTAAATGTATTCACAAGAAAGTCTTTTTCATTTTGTTATTCATTTTATGTTTCATCATGTCCCTCTTATCATTTTTACAGCAAAATTTCCTTACAGCCAATTAGTCACCCATAAAAATGAATGCTTATGGTGAAAATACCAGACACATATTGGTCCTAAAGTCATACACCAGAAAATTATCTAACGATTTTGCCTTCTTTACCCCTTTTAACTAAATATCTTAAAATTCCTATCATTTTTGCTTTGTAAATACTTGAGTCCATCCACTTCACACCATTGTCTCTGGCCTGGCTGCTACAATAACACCCTTGCAGGACCTTCTACTATCACTATCAACACCCTGCAGGCCTGTTAGGTTTCCTGCTCTCACACACTCTGTGCTTCTTCTTAGCAGGTCCTACAAGAATTACAATCCACCAACCAATTACCGAATTCCATCCTTAATGTCTGCCTGCACCTGAGAACTATGAGTTCCATCACTGCAGGGCTCTGGGTTGTCTCATTAATGGCTGTGGGCTGAGTTCCTAGCCATGTACATGGCCCAAATGAACACATTTCCTCCTCACGTCACATACCTAAAGTCCCCCAGTCTATGACCCAGCACAGTGCTCGCTCCTCTCTGTTCTCCCAAAACCACTGCCAATCCCATCACACCACTCACCATGTATTGCCTTGCATCATGAGGTGCTGTCTGGGTCAGAGTCACATCTCCCACAGAGACTATGAGCTCTAAAGGACAGAAAGAATAGGAGAGACGTAAAAAAGTTTCCTACACTGATAATGCTACAAAATGTTTCTGCAATTATTTTAACACTAATTTTGAATTTTCCAATGCATTTAGCATACTAACAAAATTAAGAGGATGTTGAACCGAATTAAAGTTTACAACTAACTTTTAAGATGTCTTTAATACTTGTCTTGCTGACTCAAAACCATCAGTAGCTAAAAAGACTGGAAATTTGGGCATATTCCATCTCTAATTTTTTTAAATATATTTTATTGATTTTTTACAGAGAGGAAGGGAGAGGGATAGAGAGTTAGAAACATCAATGAGAGAGAAACATTGATCAGCTGCCTCCTGCACACCCCTTAATGGGGATGTGTCCGCAACCAAGGTACATGCCCTTGACCGGAATCGAACCTGGGACCCTTCAGTCCACAGGCCAACGCTCTATCCACTGAGCCAAACCGGTTAGGGCTCCATTTCTAATTTGTTAAAAGGTTGGGGGAGAATAACTATTTCTCCTCCCCGTCTCCATACTCCAGTATCTTTCACAATGACACCAGCATTCAAACTCAAACGTAACTATAATCCTGTAGAGATAAGTTATCCTTGATTTTCACTCTCCACTCTTCCCATAGAAGAATGGTATGAAAGTGAATGACTTTCCAAATCCTTAAACTTCAAAAAAATGTTTAAAAATCTCAAATAAATATTAAATGCAAAAAGTTTCAATGTGGAAGCACCTCCCTAAAGTCCTTTTAACTAAATACCAATGAGCTTAAGGTGGATTTTCAAATGGCTCATGAAAACAGTTTCAGGTGTTTAGCTATATCAATCACTGGGATTCATAAATAGCAGGCACCAAGTAACATCTGAATAATGATTATTTTTCAGACTAAGACCCTCAAGATAAATCTAAGGCCTAGACAGCTGATCTTGCCACTACGGGCTACTCACTGCCAACAGAATCAAATTCAAACTCCATGGTTGCTATTTAAGGCCCTCCACAATCTGAACCCAACTCCTTCCAGGCTTAATCTCCATTATCTTCCCCATGAAGATAACCTATCACTCCAGATTTTCCCAGTTGCCTAAAATACCAAATACTATCATATCCCCCAGATTGTTCTTTGCTATTGCTCTTCTGAAATCGACAACCCTATGAATTTGCCCACTGAATTCTACCCACCTACCTCTGTCAAATGTCACCTCTTCTGTGAAGCCTTCCCTGGCTCCCTTAAGAAGTCACCTCATTCCCTGTAGACTTCCCTCTTAGTCTGTACTTACCTCTTTTATAGCACTTACCAGAGACTGCCTCATAGTATAGTCATGTGTGCACATGTCTAACTTCTCCACTAGATTATTAGCTCCTTGAGGACATGGGTTGATTCATAGTCATTTCTGGATCCTTCACAGCCCCTGGCAAAGCATCCTGCACACAGTAGGTGATGAATAAAGGTTTATTGTCTCACCAATAGTATTATGTCTCTATGTTGCTACTGTACATTTCCCTTTCACATATATTCACAACAGATCTGCATGATTAAAACCAGACAAAAACCTTTCCACTGATTCATACAACACTTAATGAGCCAATACGTGTGGGGCACTGTCGCAGGTTGTGTGCTGAACACAAAGATGAGTAAGACACAGCCTGCAATCCTAAAGGAGCTCAGAACCCACATACAAACACATTTTTAAATAAAAATAACACAATGCAAATAAACACAAGAAAAGAGGTATGCACTGGGTCTAGGGGGAACACAAAGGAACGTGCTCACGGACCTAGAAATGGGCAACAGCCAGGATCACTAACACGCTCGTTCACTGTCCAACAGCTGAACATTCACTATGCGATCCCCCGGGACGCTCCTATAGATAGAACATCTGAAAACACTGACTATGCAACTGACCTCCTAAAGGTATAGTCAGGCTGTGTTATGGATGCAAACTTTAATTCAAAAGTCAAGGAATCTGCTACAAGTGGAAAAGCAATCATTTTCTGCGTCTGCCTACTCCTAGGTTGGTGTTTGGAAGCAGGGAAAGTGAGAGAGCTGTTTTGAAGAGTTAACACGTGCAGAACATCGGTCTATGTAGAAAGAGTTGCAAATGTGACTACGCTTTTATGAAGACGTCCTCTTTCCCCCCAGATGAACCCGCAGGCCCATCTCCTTCCTCCGGCTGAACTGCGTGTTTCCCTGTTTGCATCTCCCGCCAGACTGTGAACCCCAACCCGGCCAGGATGGGCTCACTGTCCACCTCCCCGGCGACACGCGGACGACCCCAGGCGGGGACCAGCGCACGCGCCCCAGCAATGAATGAAAGCTCTCATCTGTCACTCCTTTGTACTTAGGGGACCCGGGCCTCGGGTCGCCTTCTTGCCCTGCGCTGCAGATCTGAAGACGGGCTGTCCGAGCTTAACTTTCAGGCGCGTCTGGCTGCAGCCCAGGCCTCCAGCCCCATTAAAATCCAGACACTCGCCAACGCTCCCTCTTCGAACCCCCGCAAGGTGGTCCTTTTACCTGCAAAAAGGCTCCCGGGCCGTGAGGTCGCCGTCAGAGCAGAGCCAGGCTTACGCTGCAGCCGCCGAGACCGCGGCGCCGCCAGCGCCTCCGGAACAGGAAACCGAGGGAATGAAAAAGCAAACCCGAGAAAAAGCAGGACCTCGGGCGGGACGCTGCGGGACTCGCCGCCGCGCCTCGTGCGCCGTGATTGGCGCGTCAACAACAGCGCTGGGCATCTAAGCCAATCGCCATCATGGAGCCCTCGGGCGCCCGCCCTCTGCCCTTCGCGTCCTCCAATCCCGAACCG